GGATTAAAATTAAATACCAAACTATTCCTTAAATTCTACAAAAATGTCCAAACTTCCTCTTGAAATATTTTTTTTTATATAAAGTTTCTCACAATCTTTCAAAAAAGGAAACAAATTTCTCGCTCTCGCTCTCTGTTAATTTTTTCTAACGTCGTTCGAGCTTATTGATGTAGGACGATTAAGTGTCAATCAATTTGAATTTGTTGACATGGCATCCACATCATCAAACACGCGGATGCCAGATCAATATTCTTTTTCACCCATTTTCCCTGCATACTTCAGCCCCCTTTTACCATTGTTCATTATCTTCTTCTTCTTCTTCTTCTTTTTCTTCTTCTTCTTTTTCTTCTTCTTCTTAGTTGTCTCTCTCCTCTGTGCCCTGCAGCATAATAATTCCTTCTTTGAATCATGCACAACCCCTCTTTTTAGTAGTTGTAAGCCTGGTTAACCAAGCATCAAACCACATTTTTAAATGCAAAACATATCTCTACAGTTTCATTCTTGTTTAATTCAAAATAAAGATTATAAAAGGTGACTACTGGGTTAAACTAGTCAAGCTCAATACACGTCTACAATTTTTCTACCGGCAGAACCCATAACAAAATCAATCATTACTTTTTCCAGTTTTTCCACCAGCAGGACCTATAATAAAAATCAAAGGAGAATCTAGACCATTTAGTTCGAAAAAGTTTGAGGATAATTGGGTTGTGGCCAGATCCCATTCTCAATAAGTGATTCACAGTAGTATAAGTAAAGGAGGATCCTCACTTGGAGAACTAAAAGTCCTGCAAGTAAGGTATGTCTCTTATCTTTTTTCAAAAGTTTTGGCATATTATAAAACTTGATATGATACTCTTTGTTTTAGGTTTATTGAATCACACGAATTTTTTGGGAAACATAAACCACACATACATAACTTTGATACCTAAGATTAAACACCCAAAAGAACCATCTGATCTTAGGTCTATTAGTTTGTGTAATGTGATTATGAAATTGATTATAAAATGTATAGCTAGTCAATTGAAATTATTCCTGAATGACATTATTCATCCGTCCAAATTTGCTTTGATTCCAGGACCGATTCATTATAGGAAGTACCCTTATTGCCTTGGAATTATTTCATTTTATGAAAGTTAATAAAATTTTGCGGCATAGATCCTTTGCAAAAGCTTATGAAAGGGTGCCTTGGCCTTTTTCGGAGAGTATGCTTCTTAAATTGGGGTCCAATAGGAGTTTTTGTCTCCCTTGGTATGGAATGTGTCAAACCTGTGTCTTATCCATTATTGATTAGTGGCAGCTCATCATCTGCTTTGCAACCTGATAAGGGCGCCAAGGCGACCCTCTATCAGCTATCTATTTATTTTGTATGCAGATGCTTTTTCGAGTATGCTTAGGCGAGCTGAGAACGAAGGCCAGCTGCATGAGGTCAAAATTTGTTGTATTGCTCCTTCAATATCTCATTTATTGTTGCGGATGATATAGTTTAACTTTTTGGAAGGGTTACGAATAATGAGGTCACAACACCTAAACATATTCTAAGAGCATATGAAAAGGCCTAGGGATGAACCATTAATTTCAAAAAATTCAGGCATTTCTTTCTCAAAAGGAGTCAGGCCACAAGTCTGTTAGGAGCTTAGTAGAGTGCTGGGAGTCAATATGGTAATGGCTCTAATAAGTATTTGGGATTTCCTATAGAGATAGGTCATTCACCCACACAAACCTTTACAATGCTAATAGATCAGGTAACAAAAAGAGTACAGGGATGGAAAATGAACAAGCTCTCAAGGGCAGGGTAAAAGGTTATGCTTGACCGTGTGGCTCAGGTAATCCCAACATTTATATGAGCGTCTATCAGTTGTCAAAGAAAATTCATAATCAGATTGGGAGAATAATCTCGAGTTTTTTAGTATGGAGAAAATATGGGAGACAGCAAAATTCATTGGATCTCTTAGGATAAATTATGTTCAAATAAAGCCAAAAGTGACCTGGGTTTCCAGGATTTTCAGAGTTTTAATATAGAAAAGCTGGGCAAACAAGCTTGGTGCCTTCTAAATAATCACAACTCTTTCCTCTGCAAACTGTTGCAAGCCAGATATTTCGGTGGGGGGATAGTAATTTGGCAGGCAGAAATTTCCTTCAAGAAGGCCTAAGATAGGGCGTGGGTAACGGCAGAAATATTCATATTTGGAAGGACAAATGAGTTCCTTCTTAAGTAGGGAACAGAGTATGGACACCACGACCACAAGGTACTCATCTTCTTAATGTGTTAGAGTTAAAATGTCCCTCTTCTCCAAATTGGGACTCCAACTACCCGTACCATCTTTCATCCAACTTACATGTATAATGTTCTAAGTATTCCACTTAATAGAAGATTACCCCAGATAAATTAATTTGGAGGTTTACTAAAGATGGAAATTACACGGTAAGGACATGAAATTAATTTGGCAAGCTCCATAATGAAGCAAAGAAATGTTTTATTTTGGGACCATTCCGTTCCCTGGAAAAAAAATATGGCATACTCCTACTTTGCCCAGAGTAAAGTATTTTGTATGGAGATTATGTAAAGACAGTCTCCCATGCTAGGTAGGTTAGAGTAGAAAGATATTCAAGTAGATGTGTACTACCTTACATATGGTGGGGCAAATGAAACTGTTGAACATCTCTTTAAAAATTGTGAGTATGCTAGGCAAATATGGCATCTATGTCCTATTCGAGGTGATGTCTATCCCCATTCTCTTATGCTTGAATTAACAGTGGACTTTCATCTACTCTAACAGATTACCAGATTTGGTTCATGTTAATCTTATGGGGAATATAGTGGGCAACAAATCAATCGGTTCCCCAAAATCTGTGGACTGATGATGGTAAACAGAATGCATAGCCTATTTCTTGAAATCATGTAAAATAAAGATGGAAATGTTCCAGGAATTAGTGAGACTGTGCGAAGATGTCAAAAATGGTCTCCTGCAAATGCAGGTACATATAAGATAAACTATGATGCTTCTCTAGGGCAGGCAGATTGGGTGGGACTTGTTGTTTGCAGAAATTGGAATAGCAAGGTAGTTTTTGCTTTGAGACTATATCCGATCTGCTGAAACTATGGTGCTCCTTTATGTACGAGAGATAATTTCCACTGGAGATTTATGATACTATAGTTGAGGGTGACTGGCAAGTGGTGGTAAATGCTATCTCCTCTTAAAAGAGGAGTGCATCTGAATCTCGGATGTTGGTTGAAGATGTTTCTATTTTGTTCCTCTTTTTTTCTCTTTTCTCATTTACATGGGTAGCCCAGAATTATAATCAAGTTGCGCATGAGCTTGTTAAACAAGATTTGCAATTACATGATTGCAACTTCAGACAGGAAAATTCAATTTTCCAAGTAGATCCTTTATTGTGGATCGATATTCTGGCCAGTTTTATTTACCACTAAAAGACTTAGACAGGAAAATCAAAGCACAATGCTAAAAACAGAATGAAAATTAGAAATTTCA